CAATGAAGCAGGAAGAAAGCAGGATCATCAGGGAATACCTAACCAAGAAATCTGGTGAAGTTAAGTTAAAAAAAGACAAAATATGTCACTCCTAAAACAAGTGGAACTGATAAAGGGAAAGAAAGGTTTTGCCCTGCTTTGCATGCATTTCTCCTTTAATTTCATAATAGACAGGCTTTCTGTTTGGTGACATCATGAGGTATGAGTTGTACATTTCTTAAATTAGGTTATATATTCATACAAAACATGATGGACCATGTTTTTTGATAATTTTATTAACTGAAGTAACAGTAACTACTATAACTAAAGCTCAGTTCCATAAATACCAGGAAACTTGATTCCTTAACAGCTGCCAGAATAGCATTACTTTTGTATACGCACAAAAAACAAGCTTAGTAATTTGTTAAAGTATATGTAAACCCTCATCTTGTAAAATAGCCCATTCAGTATAAAATAGAAAAGAAAGGCAAAACATTTGTGTTTAGATATAAAAACATTATAAATACCATTTTTCTCTATTTTATAAGTGATCAAATAACCTTTAAACACCTTATGTAGCTGAGAAAAGACAGCTGAGGGAGGAGAAACAGCAGTACACTGAAATCCCTAATGCATGGCTTACGAAAGCAGAGGGACTGGCCAGGGATTTCACACAAAGGAAGCAATACAAAGAGAACTTTTTCATGCAAGTACATAGTACCGCAGGCACATACCAGGAATATGAAATGTTGGGTTTGAATATTCTTTAAATGTTGTGAAAGAAATCATCATCTAACAAAAAAAAAAACTTAAAACTTAACTTGCTGCAAAATGTGCTAGACAGGTTTGTTCTGAACTGAAAAGTCATTGTACAAAAAAGAGCACATGTAGCACAGCTCAGGTTTAAAGTACATGGGACCAAAAATGATAGCCTGTGATTTAAGGGAAAGTGGTTTAACCTAAGGCTTTGCTCTTATTTTTAAAAAAAAAAAAAGAAGGAAAAAGAAAATGCTAGATGTTAAAATGGTTTTAAAAGCTTAAGGTATAACTAAACCCACAACAGTAAAACCAGTCTGCATATGCAGTAAAGCATGCTTGTTAAACTCACTGTGGAATCTAAAGGGTTAATCCTCTGCATTTTGTAAAAAGAATGTCTGCTCCTGTCTTCTGTGATCTTCCCCTTCTTCTACTGTCCCCAGCATAGGCGGACTGACAACTCATGGGGCCCCTGGGCAATAGGGGATCATGGGGCCCCTGTGTCCTTGCCTAAACTCAAAAAAGCCTATGAAAAAGGTACCAGGGGCATCTCATGGGGCCCCCTACTGACCCTGGGCCCTCGGGCAGTGCCCGAGTTTCCAAATAATCAGTCCACCCCTGGTCCCCAGTATAACCACTGATAGAACAGAGGTGTTGAGGTAAGCTGCACATATCCAGGTTGGTGTGTATTGCTAGAGTTTTTTTTTCTTGGGAAGATGCATGTGATCAGCACAGGGCCAATCAGCACTGTCCAGAGAGAGTCAGGGGTCCTGCAGCCTCATAAGGGAAAATCAAAAACTCCTCCTAAAAGCTTTAACCAGTGCTCTGCTGGACACTGATAGAAGTCACAAGACTGCTCTAACTGCTGGTGAGAAAAGGAATTTAGCAATTTAAATTTGCTAAAATAATTAATATTTATACAAAAATAATGTTCCCTGTACTGTGCAAGACCGAATGTAGTGAATGTTGGGTCATGGGTTTAGTAATACTTTAAGGTTGTTTTACCTTCATGCATTCTATGCATGAAGGTAAAAAAAACCTTCTGTGTGCAGATCCCCCCTCATCCCCCAATACATATCTGAGCCCAATCTCGATCCAGCACTATGCACGAGAGAAGCGGCTCTCTCATGTCTCTCCCTCGTCATTGACTGAGAGACAGCATCGGGGTCATTGGCTCCCACTGCTGTAAATCACAGCTAGCGAGGAGGGAGTGGTGGGGGTAGGTGGCTCAGGAACGAGCATGCATGAGTGCCCTCAGAGCAAGCAGCTTGCCCTGGGGGCACTCAGCGGGGAAGAGGGGGACCAGGAGCGCCAGTGGGGCTGCTCTGTAAAAAACCATTGCACAGAGCAGGGAAGTATAACATGTTTGTTATTTACTTTTTAAATAGGAACCTTTAGTATAACTATAAGGGAAACCTGCTGCACCATTAAAAAGCATTATGAAACTGACATTTCTAGGCATGTCAATCTTCTGTGTCCCTCTGCAGTGTTCATCAGTTCCTCCCACTAACCTCCATGTCACTACTGTGCTTTGTAGTGAAAAAATATAAGTCCTATAAAGAGCCTGGTATATTTTTTGGAAATTAACAGCATTTAGTGGGAATTTTCTGCACATGCACAGAAAGTACAGTTGTCCTTTAAAGGATACATTCACCTTAAAAAAATGCATAAATTATTTTGCAGATAAAAAAAAATGTGCATTTACTATTTTTTTAAGAGCCTGGAAAGCATTGCACCAGCGATCAGCAGATCACTGGTGCCATGCAGGGCTCCTGCAGACTATCAGTACAGGTAGGCCATTTTACACTGACAGAAAGCATCAATGAACTACCAGAGTGCTAAACAACACTGTGGTAGTTCATTGAGAACTACAAGCTGACAGCCTTAAAGGATGTTGGTGTTTGCAGTTTTCACATTCTCAGAACTCTGTAAATGTGACATGACTGTGCTCTTTTCAAAAAGTGAAAGCTGGGTACAGGGAACAAGGGGATTGCTGAGCGGCTGCAGAAGTGGGAACATGTTACATGTTCCACCCTAAAAACAGGTGGAACATGTAATATCTTCCCAAAGGTGAACTTATCCTTTAACCCCCCCTGGCGGTATTCCCAAGTATAGCTCGGGGTTAACTTTCAGTACCAGAAGTGGTAACCCCGAGCTACACTCGGGAATACCCTTCAGCATTGCTCAGGGATTCCCTCCAGCATTTACCTTGTCCTGCGCTCCCGCAATGTCCCCCCTGCAGCATCCCTGGCCATGTCCTCCGGCTGATGCCGGCATCCGTCTTCCGGGTTCCGGTCCCTGCAAGCGTCAGGACGTACGGGACGTACGGGGGATGGAACCGGCGGAAAAATTAAAAAATGTTAAAAAGTGACATTCACTAAACACACTAAAATCACATAGTAAAACATTACTGTATCAAACCATTTCACATACATTTTGTCCCTAGTGCTTTGTCCTGTGCCCTGCCTGCATTTTTATCATTCTTTCTGCCTTGAAACTGAGAAATGTCCATGGCGTCTAAAAAGCGTCCCTTTACGTCAAAAGCGGTTTTAGACCAGCTAGAGAACAGCGATAGTAAATTAGAACCACTTGCAGAATTGAGTGATAATGATTTGTGGGGAAATTCGTCATCAGACACTGAAAACGATTTTGCAACTAAGCTCAGTGATGTGCGAACTTGGCGCTCTATTTCAAATTTCAGTGTTTTTGGTTTGATTATATTATTGAATTAAATTTATTATTATTTTTTATGATTATTTATTATATTATAATTTATGATTTTGTGTTTCAAATTTTATCATACCTGGGATGTTTACTAGACTCTTGTTCGGACAGATTTCAGTGAGTTATTCCTACAAATTCCAGGCCTACAAATAAAAAAATGACATATTTCCATGCAAAAAAATGTACCTCTTTGAGCACAGAAATACTGACATAATCAGATCGCTAGGGAGGTTAAAGAGCACATATCACTATTGATTATAGGTAGAGATGAGCGAATTATTCAAAAATTTGCTTCGGCTGATTCGCCGAATTCGCCGAATAAATTCGCTTCGAGCCGAATATATTCGCTGCGAATTTAACTTATAAAAAGGGTGTTTCTAGGCTTCAGAGAGCCTTTATATTAGTGCAGAACACTGTACCTTTAATTTAAATGCCCTTGGAGTCTGCTGGGGAAGAGAAATAATACTGTCAGTCAGTATGACATGCAGATGAGTGCCGTCGATCTTAGAATCACCGCACACTTCACTCATTTGGGCAGTCACGGGGCCAAAACCAGAGTGTGGAGCCACAGTGTGGCGGTGGAGGCAGCAGCAATGGGAGGCCATACAGCACCCTATGACAAAATGGAACCCACCAGCAGTGTGAGGAGACCTGAAAGTGGCACATGGCAGAGTGTGGCGATGGAGACAGCAGCAATGGGAGGCCGTACAGGGACCCATGACACACTCTGGACCTGGCAGCAGCATGAGGAGGCGGTACAGGGGCCCATGACAGATTACGGGCCTGGCAGCAGCATGAGGAGTCGGTACGGGGGCCCATGGCAGATTACGGGCCTGGCAGCAGCATGAGGAGGCGGTACAGGGGCTCATGGCAGAGTGGCGGAGCGTAAGCAGCTAAAATTGAAGGCCATACAGAGGCCTATGTTAAAAAGTCCCCCCAGCAGCAGCGTGGGGAGACGACTATCAAGAGTCCAATGGCAGAGTGGCGGAGCAGAAGCAGCTTCAATTGAAGGCCATACACAGGCCTAGGTTTAAAAGTCCCTCACAGTTAATTCCAATAACGAACTCTACTCCTCCGTGCAATCTACTTACGAGACCCTGGGCAGGTCAGGGTCCAATTTGTGGTAGAGACTGGTTTTGTTCAGCCATGCTTGAGCGAGTAATAACAGGTCTGTGCTGCCCTTTGGTGTCTGGCTTAATGCGCACAACACTGAACGTCCCAGCGTTTGTCAACGATTTGCCGTTAAGTGATGCAAACCCGCTGAACCACGTTCATGAGGAGCCGGTACAGGGGGCCATGAATCAGTATGGACCTGGCAGCAGCGTGAGCAGACGACAGAGGCACATGGCGCAGGGTGGCGGTGTAGGCAGCATTATTCTGAAGCCATACACAGGCCTAGGTTAAAAAGCGGAAGCCGTCAGCAGCGTGAGCAGACGACAGAGACACATAGCGCAGGGTGGCGGTGGATGCAGCAGTATTCGGAAGCCAAACACAGGCCTCGGTTAAAAAGCGGAAGCCGTCAGCAGCGTGAGCAGACGACAGAGGCACATGGCGCAGGGTGGCGGTGGAGGCAGCAGCAATGGAAGGCCATACAGCACCCTATCACAAAATGGAACCCACCAACAGTGTAAGGAGACCTGAAAGTGGCACATGGCAGAGTGTGGCGATGAAGTCAGCAGCAATGGGAGGCCGTACAGGGACCCATGACACACTCTGGACCTGGCAGCAGCAAGAGGAGGCGGTACAGGGGCCCATGGCAGAGTGGCGAAGCGTAAGCAGCTTAAATTGAAGGCCATACAGAGGCCTATGTTAAAAAGTCCCCCCAGCAGCAGTGTGGGGAGACGACTATCAAGAGTCCCAATGGCAGAGTGGCGGAGCAGAAGCAGCTTCAATTGAAGGCCATACACAGGCCTAGGTTAAAAAGTCCCCCCAGCAGCAGCGTGGGCGACTATCAAGAGTCCAATGGCAGAGTGGCGGAGCGGAAGGAAGCAGCTTCAATTGAAGGCCATACACAGGCCTAGGTTAAAAAGTCCCCCCAGCAGCAGTGTGGGGAGACGACTATCAAGAGTCCAATGGCTGAGTGGCGATCCGGGAAGTCAGCGTTGTGATTGCAGATGCAATGCAGAGATTCTATGAGGTGATGCCGTGGGTGCGAAGAAGATCATATACCGTCGTACTTCCATCCATAAGACGGAACAACCTGCGAACCGGGAGCTTTATTGCCCTGACCCGCTGAGCAGCTTCTGGGATACCCAAGAGGCCCATGGCAGAGTGGCGGAGCGTAAGCAGCTTCAATTAAAGGCCATACAGAGGCCTATGTTAAAAAGTCCCCCCAGCAGCAGCGTGGGGAGACGACTATCAAGAGTCCAATGGCAGAGTGGCGGAGCGGAAGCAGCTTCAATTGAAGGCCATACACAGGCCTAGGTTTAAAAGTCCCCCCAGCAGCAGTGTGGGGAGACGACTATCAAGAGTCCAATGGCTGAGTGGCGATCCGGGAAGTCAGCGTTGTGATTGCAGATGCAATGCAGAAATTTTATGAGGTAATGCCGTGGGTGCGAAGAAAGATCATATACCGTCGTACTTCCATCCATAAGACGGAACAACCTGCGAACCGGGAGCTTTATTGCCCTGACCCGCTGAGCAGCTTCTGGGATACCCAAGAGTTTGGCTTCTGTGGGGAATATGGTTGAAAACTGAAACTTAAAGGCATGTTGACGGAAGGGCACCAGTGTCAGTGCTCCGGAGGGAATATAGCTTCAAAGCTGACACTTAAAGGTATATCGACGGTCAGAGACCACAGGAAGTGGAGCTTGCGTCTTAAATCGACTGAATGTGGCAGACGTGAAACGTCTACGGGCCGTATATGAAACGGGTTGTTCCTCTTTCTGGAATAAGTGTTGGAAAAGGGCCACTCTTTTTGGTGTGGCGTTTTGTCTATTTAATTCCGATAACGGACTCTACTCCTCCGTGCAATCTAGTTACGAGACCCTGGGCAGGTCTGGGTCCAATTTGTGGTAGAGACTGGTTTTGTTCAGCCATGCTTGAGCGAGTAATAACAGGTCTGTGCTGCCCCTTTGGTGTCTGGCTTAATGCGCACAACACTGAACGTCCCAGCATTTGTCAACGATTTGCCGTTAAAGTGATGCAAACCCGCTGAACCACGTTCATGAGGAGCCGGTACAGGGGGCCATGAATCAGTATGGACCTGGCAGCAGTGTGAGGAGACCCGAAAGTGGCACATGGCGCAGGGTGGCGGTGGAGGCAGCAGTATTCGGAAGACATACACAGGACTAGTTTAAAAAGCGGAAAGCCGTCAGCAGCGTGAGCAGACGACAGAGGCACATGGCGCAGGGGGTGGCGGTGGAGGCAGCAGTATTCGGAAGCCATACACAGGCCTAGGTTAAAAAGCGGAAGCCGTCAGCAGCGTGAGCAGACGACAGAGGCACATGGCGCAGGGTGGCGGTGGAGGCAGCAGTATTCGGAAGCCATACACAGGCCTAGGTTTAAAACTGGAACCCAGCAGCGTGAGCAGACGACAAAGACGCACATGGCAGAGGATGGATCTGGCAGCAGTATGAGAAGGCGGTACAGGGGGCCCGTGGCACAGTGTGGTGATGGGGGCTACAGCAACTGGATGCCAGAAAGTGGCCGATAGGGCTATATACTGCATGGAATTATAAAGTTGTAAAAAGACAGCGGCCTATAAGGCTATACACACTATAACAATCATGACTTGATTGACCATTGGCCTATAAGGCTATACACAGCATGAATATCATGACTTATTCTGAGAGTGGTTTGGAAGGCTATATACAAAAAGTAATTCATGAGCTGTCCCGGACAGCGGACAATAAGTACATATATACAAATCAATTCATCAGCTGTCCAGCCAGCGGCCTCAAAGGCGACACATATAGAAAGCAATTCATGAGCTGTTCAGACAGCGGCCTCTAAGGCGACAGATATACAAAGCAATTCCCGAGGTGTTCAGGGAGCGGCCTGAACGGCTAGGTTATTACTAAATATATTTTGTGGCCAAACATCGGCCTATAAATAGATGTCTACACAGTGACAAAAAATTATGTCGCCAGACAGCGGCCCCTAAGGCGACAGATATACAAAGCAATTCCCCCGAGGTGTTCAGTGAGCGGCTTGAACGGCTAGGTTATTACTAAATATATCTTTCTGGCCAAACATCGGCCTATAAATAGATGTCTACACAGTGACAAAAAAGTAGGTCGCCTTACAGCGGCGTATCCTACAAATTGACATTATAAGAAATGGTTTAGACCAAAAAAAAAAAAAAAAAAACTTTGATGCGATGCTATATACCTTAGTAGATTGTGGAAAGTCGACAAGTCAAGCGTAACTGTGTACATTACAGAAAATCTTAACAAGACAACCAAACATGTGGCCAAACCGTGACCGATACAACAAGTTAACAATGTAAGAAACAGGAGGGGGCCAAAACCGTGGCCAATAAATAAACAGTCCACCTCATTGATGAGATGGACAACACGTGTCAAATAAATATTTAAAAAAATTGCTATTCCATCGGTCTGGAACTGGTCGACTATAAATAATTAAAAAGTTTAAATTCATGTGACAGTCGTCCAGCGACGTATAAATAATTTAAAAACACCAATTCATGAGGGGCCCGACCAGCAGAGTATAAGTCATTAAAAAGGTTCAATTCATGTGACGGTCGTCCAGCGAAGTATAAATAATTTAAAAACCCCAATTCATGAGGGGCCCGACCTGCAGAGTATAAGTCATTAAAAATGTGCAAAACATGAGTCGGCCGACCAGCAGCCTCTCAAATAAAATATATATACAAATGTACGGATCAGGTGGAGGTCTTCCATTTGTCCCTAATAACATGTTTGGGGCATGATTCATGGCGGATTTAGTCAGTTGTGTCAGGAACTGGTGGTTTGAAATCCAGACTAATCCACGCCTGATTCATTTTCACAAACGTGAGTCTCTCTCCACACTTTTGGGTGGACAGTCGTGTCCTCCGCGGAGTTACAATACCTCCTGCCGCACTAAACACGCGCTCCGATGCCACGCTACTGGCCGGGCATGACAGCCTTTCAAGGGCAAATTCAGCTAGTTGGGGCCAAAGGTCAAGTTTCGTTGCCCAGTAGTCAAGGGGATTGTCTACCTCGGTTGGCAGGGTGCTGTCCAAGTAGGCCCAAGCCTGTTGTTTGAGGTCCTGCTCCAGGTCCACCTGATGCTGCTGCTGCTGCGGCTGGTTAGTAGTTTCCTCACTGCGCTGGTGAAGAAAGCTACTCATCATCGACTGCAGACTGAGGCAGCCGCTGCTGGTGGAGCTGCCACTGCTCCTACCACCCCACCCCTCCCCTGCTGCCATGGCAGCGGAACGCGAGCGCACAGGGCCCACAGTGTCTGAGGATGGACGTTGGCGCAGAAAGGCAGAGACCAACTGACTACATAGGTGGTTTTTTTATAGTACTTTATTTTGGCCTCCCTCTCAGCAGGTGTGAAAAAGGCCACCATTTTTGAACGGTAGCGAGGGTCCAACAAGGTGGACAGCCAAAAGTCATCCCTCTGTCTGATGGTTATTATTCGGCTGTCGCTACGCAAGCAACCGAGCATGCATATGGGCCATTTGTGCCAAGGAATGCGAGGGACTCCCTGCCTCCATCTCACACAGCATACTGCCACGGTGCGTCTGGGTCCTCTGTCTCCTCCTCCTCCTCTACCAGATGCTCCTGCTCCTCCACTCCTGTCCGCTGAGTGGAAAAACCACCCATTTCACTCAATAATTCCTGAGCACCAATGTCCTCCTCTCTACCTCCTCCTCCTCTTCTTCCTGTCCTGCCCCCACAGGGGTCATGTGGCGTTGAGATCTGTGCGCCACGTCTACCGCACCCTGACCAGCCATTGTTAACAGCATTTGTTCCAGGACGTGCAACAGAGGAATGACGTCGTTCATCCCATAGTCCTGCCGACTCACGAATAGCGTGGCCTCCTCAAAGGGCCTGAGCAAGCGGCAGGTGTCACGCATGAGCTGCCAATGGCTGACATCTAAGTTACACAGGGGAGTACCTTTATCCGCTTGTAACATCAGGAAATCGGTGATGGCCTTTCGCTGTTCGTAAAGGCGGTCTAACATATGTAGGGTTGAATTCCACCTTGTTGCAACGTCGCAGATCAGGCGATGCTGTGGAATTCCGTTCTGCCGCTGCAGCTCAAGGAGGGTGTGCTTTGCGGTGTAGGAATGGCTGAAATGCATGCAAAGTTTACGTGACATTTTAAGGATGTCTTGCAGTGGGATGGTGGATTTTAGGAACCGCTTGACAACCAGATTGAACACGTGAGCCATGCATGGCGCATGGCACAACCTTCCTTGACGCAGAGCAGACACCATGTTCTTTCCGTTGTCGGGTCAACATGGTTCCGATTTTCAGTTTGCGCGGAGACAGCCATCTGTCGATTTCTCTGTTCATTACACTCAGAAGTTCCTCCCCTGTGTGACTACGTTCGCCAAGGCATACCAGGTGCAGCACAGCGTGACACCGTTGCGCCCTGCACATGTGATATGCCGGTCGATGGGTAATGGGACTTGGCACGGGGGGGGTGGCGGCTGAGGACACGGCGGAAGAAGAGGTGGTAGAGGCGGACATCTTTGCTGGACCAAGGACGTGCAAACGTGGAGGCAAAAGCGGCGTGACCTGTCCAAGTTGCTGGTGCGGCTGTGCCGGCACCACGTTCACCCAGTGGGCCGTAAATGACATGTACTGTCCCTGACCGTAGTTACAGCTCCACACGTCGGCGCTGCCGTGCACTTTGGCAGAGACCGACATGCTCAAAGACTGGCCCACCATCTCTTCTACATGTGAATGCAGGGCTGGCACTGCCTTTTTGGCGAAGAAATGCCGGCTTGGCACTCTCCACCGCGGCTCGGCACAAGCCATCATTTCTCGGAAAGGTGCTGAGTCCACCACTTGGAAAGGGAGGGACTGCAGCACCAGCAACTTGGACAGGAGGACGTTCAGCTTCTGCACCGTCGGGTGCGTGCTCGCAAACTGTTGTCTCTTGGAAACGGATTCCAAGAAAGACTGCTGACGGAATCCGTGAAGAGGAGTAGCAGGAGAAGGAGCATCTGAACGAGCGGAAGATGCCAACGAGCGACAACTCCCCTCAGCAGAGGTGTTGGAGCCTTGACTGGCTGATAGAGGGCGATTGACGTCGGGTGACGGAGCAAGTAACGGAGCGCGGGTGATGGAGCGGGGGCTGGGGCAGGCAGAACCGCCGTATCTTTATCACGGTTTTCCCAGGCCACCGAATGGCGACGCTGCATATGCTGACGCGCAACGCTGTGTAGTCCCAACATTGGCCCCCTGGCCACGCTTGACTTTCTGGCCACATAGTCGACATACGGCTACGTTTACTTCCTCGGGCGGCTTGACGAAAAATTGCCACACCGCCGAGTAGGAAACTTTGCCCCCGCTACTCCTCACTGGCTGACTGCTACTTCCTCCGTGCACACCGGCACCACTACTGGCCGTGGTGGTAGGCTGCAGTGGAGCTGGTGCTCTACTCCGTGGCCGTTTGGCTCCACTGACACTGCTGCGACCCTGCTGCTGCCTCCTGGGCAACCCACCGACTGTTTTGCTCGCTGGCAAGCTGGCACCCTCTTCTCCTGATGATGCGGAAGCAATAGCCTGATGACGACGAGGCTGCCAAGTGCGATCAGCCTCATCATCATCAATATTAGGGTCTCCGCGTCACTACTAGCCCCCTCGGCTGCGTGTGGGTCAGGAGACAGACCTGTCTCTAGACCGGCTACCGAGCCACTCTCCTCGCCAGTACTTCTTCGCCTGGCTGCTGAAGAGGCGGATGTCTCCCCCCGTTCCTGACCGCCCTCTGTTAGCTCTTCCTCACTGTACAGTGGGGCTGAGCCCACAGCATGCGATACTTCGCTTGGTGAGGGAACACCAAAGGACAGGGGCAGGTCGAGGACACGTGATTTCAGTGGGCTTGCTCCCGGGCCATGCCAACTAACGGTTGTGTCTGACGTACCCACCGACCGTTGGCTGTAGGTGTCAGAGGTGACCTGGGAAGAGGAAGACGACCGAGTCAACCAATCGATGACGGCAGGGTTGTCGGTGGAGACACGACCGCTGGATGACACCGGGAGCACTGGCCTCTGGCTGCGACTAGTGCTGCCTCGACCCCTTCCTCTGCTGCCACGTCTGCTCGCTCCTGAAACAT